TTGAATGGGTAATTGTGTTTTTATAGCGAACGATAAAATTTATGTTCTACGAACCTAATTAGAGTATAGGTACAACTACTCTATTATAGTAGTTAAGCGAAACGGTTGAATTAATGACATCTACATAGCTAATTGTCATTGACCGACAAGCTACATTTTAGAAATATTGATTTTCAGTTTTAATCATCATTTCGACATGTTTCGTCGGCTAAACAATACGAAGACAAATGAATTAGGTAGCTGTAGGTAATCTGTTTGAAACAATTATCGCTGCAAATATTATCGTTTGTAACTATGCGGGCAGATGCAGGTAATCTCTAATGTTTAAAAGGTCAAAATTACATATACGGTTTAACCCACGGTTCAACAACTTATAAGAAATAACATTTTACAGACATGATTAGATCGCGATTAAAGACTAAAAATGGAAGGGCGAACCGTATAACAATTGCCCAATCAATACATGTTTGCGTTCTCATTAATCTTGGTACTGTGGACGATTGTTGTTATCTCATCTTGTAAGACTTTATGCGACTTACCTACCTGTATCTAATCAGTAATCACTAATCAAAAGTTCTAAAAATAAAACAATTGAAAAATTCATTAAATGCATATTTTATAATTGTTTCTTGAGTCTTCCAGTTAAGCTATGCCTACTTACTGCAAATACAGGCTACACGTAACGAAAAATTGCCTGAAATGAATTTCCTCCATATTTGTACATATAACTATAGGTACCTCAAACCACACAACGGCTGCTCAGCTCATCTCATGTACAGTAAGACCATTATTTTACTGATATGCAAAAAAAACCCTTGCAGTTAATACTACAGTAATTGCAGTAATGAGTGAACGTTATTGTTTTACTTCTCTATTTCGCATCACCTGATTAGGTTTTAGTTTTGTTCAGTAAGGTTGTTGAATACCAATAGAACGAAATAATTATATTATTACGATCAAATGTGAAAAATATCGCTTTCAAACCTCGTTTAAACAAAAAATAGACTCATCCCTACAACTATGGCAGAAATTATGGTATGATAAAATTATTATGAGTGATATTATCAGTAAACTGAATTGAATGCCCTAATTAGTTTCATTTCTCCGGTTTGAACAAAAATGACCTTAAATTTCTAAATTTAAATAGTACACCGAATGCCCCAATTAGTTTCATTTCTCCGGTTTGAATAAAAATGACCTTAAATTTCTAAACTTAAATAGTACACCTGTACACCCTGTATATTTTATATTTTTAGATTCTACAGGCTCGGTATGATGTTTTCGGTAACATACGAGATCACCATGAAGGGACCTCGGAAGGGACCAAAACCATTCTGCCATTTGCTTAATTCATCAAAAAAAAATTTTCGTGGACAAAAAAGGAAGAGTGGAAAAATGTTCTTGCCATGTAAAGTTGGCCCCGATTGGCCCCATCCAAACGGTTGGTAGTGGCGTGTAATGACTATCTCAAAGCAAAATCGATATGGGATATATAAAAAGTTTAAAGAATTAAAAAAGACTATAAATTCTACATTTATTTACTAATTTTAGTATTTTGCAACTTTTTTTATTAGGTAGGTATATTGACATATATTCCAACAACACCAGTAGTAGATTTTTTTTAGAATTTTCTGGAACTTGTTAGAATTTTCAAGAATTGTCTAGAATTTTCAAGAATTTATTGAATTCTTTGGAATTGCTTTTAGAATTTAGTGTACACATTTGAGATGATTTACCCCTCAGACGTCATTAACACATAATTAATCACTAATTCCCTACACTTACAAGATAAATTGTAGAAGACTAAATCTCCTACCGAAGATTCGGTGAAGTACTTTATCTGTAACTACCGCAAGAATTTTATTTATCCAATATAAATTACTACAAATTAAGTAAAAAGTTTATACTGTTTATTAAGTAGCACGAGCGAGAAAACTAGTGTTGATAGCAGCTAGTTTATCAAACACATCAAAAAGTCAAGTCTAAACGCACACTCCCTCTATAGTTCTGGGTTTGCTGTGCGTTGGTTTATTGTTATCTGTAACGGACAGGGACGTAGCCAGAGGGGGGGCAAGAGTGGGCTCTCTTGGGACCCACTTGCTTAAAATAACACAATGTAGCATGCTCATAAATAATCAAAATTCTTTAAAAATTAACGAAACAATAGATAAAAACTTCAACCATTTTAAGTGGCGATATTAATTAAGAAGATGTTTTAGGTTGAAAAATAGATTTAACAGTTTTCTATTATTAAATAACGCCAGCACTTTTTCGAAAACGACATTTTTCGGATTTTTGGCCAGAATTTCGCTATTTGTAGGAAGAAACTTTGAAGGGGAAAATTAATCAGCATGAAAATGTGCGTAACTTAACTTTGCCCATTTAAGCGACTTTGCATGTCGTACGAGATCCCCATGGTGACAATGAAAAAAACTCACCCTGTATTATCATTTTATTATCTTTTTTACCACCTGCAATACGTAGCACAGGCATAAGAGAGATTCGAGGAGAGATCTTTTTAAGTCGATACGATACACGCATTTCTTGGGCATCGAGCAATCGAGTTTGGTCTTTTTCCCAAAATGGTGCTTAAATAAGGATTTAAATCGATATTGGGCAATAAAGTTATGGATACTAAAATTAATTCTTGATATTTGTCCATCTGGGACCATAAGCTTTCTTATAGCGAAAACCAGAAATCGATACGAGTTCTTCTTCCCTAGAAAATTGGTCCATAAATAACGATTTTGACATTTTTGTGAACAAATGGACCACTTCTTGGGCATTACCTACGCAATTGAATTTCCCAAGGGAATCGATAATCGCATAAATAACGATTTTGACATCCTTTGGATAAAGATATTTTGGTCGCCAAAAATAAACATGTATCATTTCTTGGTCATCGAGCAATTGAGTTTGATCGTTTTTGGTGCATAAATAATAATTTTGACCAATTTAGAGCTATAACACGTGATGAATGCCAAGGTTAATTTTTGTTAGTCGATACGAGGTCTAGGGACTGAGCTATAGTACGGAACGACACGCAGACGGACGGAAATGTGAAGTCATAAACGCTCCACTTTCGTGGATTGCGCTAAAAACGAATTCCTTCAGTAGTCTCCAGCAAATTATTAATATTTCGCCTGCCCGCTCTGTAGATTTATTTGCTCGCTCTTAGTAACTAATCTGGCTACGGCCCTGGTAACGGAAGTTCGAAAGTGAACTCAATACCTACATGAGAAAGTGAATATTAATAAATTAAATTAATCTTAACAAGTTGTTCGCGCAAAAGAGGTAAGGTTCAGACCCTGAAGTAGTGAAGTAATTGCCGTAACTAAAGCTCATTTTGAAGTTCCGAATCCTCCGATACGGATGACACTGGAACATCGTTGGGAAATTTTTCATTTCGACCACGTAGGTAGTCTCATACGTATTTAACAAATTACCCACGCCAAAACCGAAGAATCTGCATCACGCTAGGGCCACCCCTACCTTAGCATAACAGGTGCATGGCATATTTCTGTTTAGGTAATTTTCCGCTTTACAGTATTGATAATGAACTTAATTAACTTATACACTCATCATGCGATGTTTACAAAATGGATTTTTAACCAACTACCATGAATTTCGCGTCGACATTTGTGAAAAAAATTGTCGGTCGATTACACAGCAGGACCTACGGGTTATTCGAATAACATAGGAAATATTCCACGAAGTAGGTATAGCATTAATTATACAAAACGATGCAGATGTTAAGATAATTGGTACAGTTATAAGCAATTAAAGAAAAACAATAGTCCATTACGAACTCATTCCAAAATGCTAAACGTGTGTTTTTTGGTACGAACTCATACTACGGATAAAATTCTAAATTATGCAAATCAATTTAAACTCTTATGTGTTTAATGTTTAAATATTCCGTCGTATAATCTGCAATAACCTTAACCTTAACGTAAATTATGCTAATTCTAATTTTACTGCTTGTAAACTAATATGCCACTATAATAATGATGCAAAGTTTTGGACCTGTAGAAGAGCTAACGTTTTCGCAATTTCAAGCAAAATACGTTTAAAAATGCATTTAAGGATATACATTCAGATCATTAGTAAGCAAACCAAATGCGTATTCAAACGACCAATTTAAGTTGCTCGTTAGCGAGACAAAAAAACCGTAAAAATTCTAGCCCAGCCGTACCTATCCTTAATAAAACCAAAGGCAAAATCTCCCGTCGTCGTTAGTACCACGCTTAGAGTCCTACTAACAATTTCTAAAAATATATAATATATGAATAAGCAAATTGATGGCGCAATGCCAGACACTCTTCCTTTCATGCCGCATTATTTGTGGGTGACCGGCGAAAATATGTAAGTAGGTTAAAAAATTCCCCCGATAAAAGTGGTAATACCTATACGTTCTTGCTTTCATGCCCTGTTAATTTATCTCAGTACGAATACTATTCTGAACATGGAAGGTCGTTGGTCCCTTTCGATGTATAGCCTTGGCTTGTCAGCAATAAGGTCGGTAGGTTTTATGAATTGAACATTAAATATATAGATATTTCTCAAGACCTATTAAAAAATTCTTTAATCGGTGTCATAATCGCGGTACCTACGTAGAAAGTGCCATAAAAAAATAAAAATTACTAACGAACATCAATGCACTCGTATGCAATAGGTGATAGCAACTCATAATGGGGATTATTAAAAAGCACTTATACTTTTTAATGCAATTTATAGTGCAGCAACGCACAGGTTCATGTTACATGGCAATAAAAGCGAGAATTACCGTATGGTTACCGCCTGAAATCATTGGCCCTTTCAGTGAAAATAAATTGCACAATAAATCAAAAAGCTCCGGTTCTTCCCGTAAGGCGTAATAGATACCTGCAGAATAATTCGCGAGATATTTGATAAAGGTAATAAACAACCAAAAGCGATAAGTCTAAATTTAGATCATGGGGGTGACTGTGTTTGTGGTGCAATAAGTGAAATAATCCTACCTGCAAGGCGTGCAGCGTTTCTTCCTTATCATTTTCACCTTCCAAATCAGATACTTGCACGTAATCCGCGTCGCCGTCGAAGAAATCGGTATGGTCCGAACGACCACTAAAATCGGAAACGACACTGCTTCCGCAACTGTTTCCAGAATCTTCCATGTTCGTGTCCATATCCTTAAATTCAGGTGTACCCATTTTCACTGAATTTTATAAGACGCGTACGTTACAATGCAATATGTATACCGAATCAAGCAACTTTTAACGTTCGCGTTAACTGATAGAGCTTTTCTATCGAATTAACGATTGTGACACTCTTGCCTGGTGTGAAAGTGAAATAAGCACACAACCAACGACCACACAACGAACTATCACACGCCGAACTGGCTGCAACAGAGCGAGGCAACTGGTAGAATTGTTATGTCAGGCTACGAGCGCACGCGCTCCTCCTATTCCAGTGTGTTCCTTCACCGCGTTGCTACCTTCAACAATCTGGAAAGTAACAAATTATCGCATCGTATTCATTTTTCAAAATTAAGATTTAAATAGCAAATGGGAAATATACGAGCCTAAGCCATGTCTCCGGAGATGCCTATAATCAACTAATTTTCTCCTTTCTCCCTTCTCCAAATTACCACATTTATAGAAACGTTCAAAATCGCACATTCGCACGTAACGTTTTAAGTAGGTAAATAATACGCGTATCTCTTCCAGTCCAGTTCAACAGTTGGCCATAATCAATAAAATGCGGGAATGGAGAATTTTGAAGAACGATAGTAATATCCATTTTTATCACCCTGCTGTGAGGTGCAATAAATTTTAGGCAATAAAAATGTGGAACAGCTTTAAAAGTTGTAAATTCTACACGTCAAAATATCAACGTAAAAGTAAAAGAACTAACACCGTCATGGAAGTAAGCGTCAAAGATTACCATGCAACCGTTGAGTGAATTAATTACTCACTGATACAACCAAAAGGTTTTAGCAACCTTCGAATAATGTGACGCGTCAATTTTCATGACGACGATTATTGGATTAATTCCGCCTACGTTGGTTTAAATGTATTATAAGTAACAGGATAGGTGTTTTTGCTTTTACTGTAGGATTCCTGTTTCAGTTCCTCTTTTAACTCCGTTACCTTTGCGTAATAACAGGGTAGTGACTTGCGTAACGCATCGTACCTAGCCCATAAGCATTTCATACTATGTGGTTATTGGCGCCCCAAATTATTTTAGAAGAATTGTAGAGAATTTTCTACGCCCGTCAATGGATTTCGACTCGACCATCGCTAATGGTGGTCGGTGGATTATCTCCGTCAAATTCGGCGTCTTCTTTCCACAATTTTCTGAATAGTCCTAGACTCCTAGAACTGGTTTTACCCTTCATGGTACTCTAATGAAAGGTCTCGACAAAAGGAGTTAATTTCTTCCAACCATACCCTACTCCACGACTCCTTATCGTGATGGGACATAAATATCTATTAAATAATTCCTTATATCTCAAGAACAGATTGTTGGAGGATGGTACTCCCAAAGGGCGATTTTGACGTCTCGGCAATTCTGGAAATAGGTAATAGCCAGGGCTACTTTGACGAGGGCTGTAGGCCACATCAATTTTCTGTTTCATTGTTACTGCATATTTAGTGCAAGTGCAACCCACGAAATGATTATGAACTCGCTGCCCGCCCGTCGGTCCACGCTATACGTCAGCCTCTAGACCTGGTAACGACTTAGGATTGCCATATGCATATACAGACGCTTTCGACGCTCCTTTTTCAAGATAAAAGATAGATCAAAGATAAAACATAAATGGACGTTTGAAATGCGAGGATTGAGTAACACTGAATCATTAGGTGGGTATCCAGTAGCCCAATAATAAATGAAAATTGTGAACAGTTTTAAGCTATAGAATTAATAGGAGACAGCAGTATTCATTGTATACGTAAGTACGGTAAACCAAGTAATCAATGAACCACTCGGATTCCTTCCTTGGCAGGGAGGTAGCGCGTTGAGGCTGTAGTGTTTAACCGATTGGGAAAAACTCGTGATGGAAATGCATTTTAAGGGGATGTGTTTTTAATCCTATAACCATTACTCTCGCCGTGTCAAGTGGAAGACAGTTCCATACTGTTACACGTTGAATTTCGCAGGAAACTGTGATAATGGCGCAATGGGAAGTACCGTCTAGATTAGTTGATAAATGTGTTAGCAAATCAATCCTCTTATCTAATATTGTCATCTTGTATATACCGACGTTCATCGATCATTTTCAGCAATTAAAAATGTATTCAACATTTTTATCGCCTAGAATTTGCCAAAACGGTTGGGTTACTATGTTCTACTGTTCCTTTAAATTCACCGCATATATTCACGAAAAGTTTTCAGTCACCGTATCAGTATAGGTTTAACCACAACCGGAATTACGAAATTAGATTATTTGATTAATTACACAACCTTAAGTGCTATCGAAAAAGTGATATACAATGGGTTAAAGTCTTATCTTAATGTATACATATCCCATTACAAAGTGAAATATGACTAGATGCGGCATGTGACCAGAAATTTGAAAATAGCAAAGGACGAAATCTACTTTTTCGTACTTCCGAGATTAAAGTGACAACTTCACTCCATTATGACAAGTACTTACGTGTAACTTTTTGTCCCGCCGGGATTAAATTTGGACGAAAATCCCGGAAGGGTGAAATTACTAACAAGGCAATTTCAGTAGGTTGTTTCACATTTTGTATGCGGCACTACTTCTTAAACGCATCGTACTGCTGCTCATATATTTTTTTGGATTTCGGTGGTATCAATTCATTACCTAGTTTGGCTGCTTTTGATCAATATCAAATACACCTTTGTCACCCACCACCAAAATTATGACACTAGCAATGACAGTTTCCAAATTATTTTTGTTACCATAGCATAGGAATTGTCGTACCAACGCAACGTTCCTATGGTAACTTGTTAAGCAGCGATTTTTTGAAAGAACGCGTTCTCTAACTCCATACATATTAAGTGTTTCAGTTTCGGAAGTACGAAAAATATCGTATATATCTTGCGACTGAAGTAGTAGTCTTAATCCCTCAGGTAAATTATGGCCCTCCCTTCGGTCGGGCCATAAACTTTACCTTCAGGATTAAAAGTACTATTTCAGTCCACGCAACAAGAAAAGCTAGGCGCCAAACTCAGTACTTTTCTCTGATTTTGGCGCCTAGCTTTTCTTGTTGCGTTCATTAAGTCACTAGTTACTATATTTTATTTATATCCCTAATGTCTGAAACAACAGTTCGGCAACTATTTTTATTCTACTTCACAAAATCTGCACATCATCGACCTTTTTTTCAAATTAAACGAAGAGGCTTTCAATTATAATTACAATATAATGCTGTAAAAACAGTAGGGTTGTATCTTCATAGTACGAGAACTGGTAGACATTTTTGGGTAGGTATTTGAATCACGCTGAAAACTTGTCTAATACTCCTCTAATTTAGTTATTTATTTATTTATTATCCCTTTCTTGCTCTTGGCCCTCAACAGGCTTGCGCCCAATTACAGAGTGACCCGCATAATGCTTTTTTAGAGGTGCCTCTGCAGAAAGTCTTAAGTTGTTCTATATTACTCCGGTATTTACCTTACGAATTAGGAAATATCCGACCTCCCGAATTATAGCCCAACGCTCTACCATTGAACCACAAAGTCCACCACCTAATAATACCCAAACACAGAATTGCAAACCTGCCTATGTAATAGCGGGGCTAATTCAACCCTTATACCTATTTTTGAACCACAAAGTCCACCACCTAATAATACCCAAACACAGAATTGCAAACCTGCCTAGGTAATAGCGGGGCTAATTCAACCCTTATACCTATTTTTAAAGATACCAATTTTTTTTTGCAAAAAATGTTCTTTAGGCATTTCGAAATGTTTACACCTTTAAATTTAATATTTAATTAAAGAGCGAATAAATAAAAAAATCAGATTATTTGCTCGGGTCTTACACTTTGCCAGGTGCTTACAAAGTTTGAAAACATGTATACTGGCATATGAACACCCAGTCATTGATTATTCTATATAATCAATGACCCAGTGTACTTTCATCAATTTTGATGAAATAATCAAGATAGTTAATTGTCTTTATTTCAAAATAAGAAACAATGAAAATTTTGTAATTATACAATTACAACTAATTCAAACAACACTAATAATGTGTAGATCTTCTACTGTTTTTTGCACATTCAGATACTCGACTGGGCACACTTGAAATTAACAAATCGATACTAGCTTCTGATGTACTGTCTCAAGATTCTAAAATACACTTTTGAAGATCATCTAAACAGTTTGCAGGTTCAATGTTTCAGGTTCATGTTCAATTGGTGACAGATGTCGTTGAACAGAAAATCGTAGATGCCGTTTTTTTTGCTCATTAGTGGTACTTTAATTTGTAGCAAATTTTCATCGTTGCTTATTTCCAAATAAAGACAATTGTCCTGAAAATTTTATCAAAATTGATCAAAATACACTAGGGCTTTTTGTATTAATGGCGGCCAGTAAGGCAAAGGTAAAGTGTAAGTTCCTAAAGTCTTAATATTAACACAGAAATGCAGTATAAACATGTACACTGATACTTTACCATAGGTATTGATGTTTCATCTTAAGTTCTTTGGATTAAAACCAAAAAGAAAGCAACGATAACTTTAAAAATTTAAGGGTTGATTTAGTGCCGCTAATTCTCAGCCAGGTCTGCAATTCTGTGATTGGGTATTATTAGAAAAGCACTTGATACGTTTTCAGTGTATCCCAAATACTTACCCAAAAATGTTTACCAGCTCTCCTACTAGGTACCACGGTGTATGAACTACTCCTTTAAGTGTAAAGGAATTTCCTGATCGTCCCACATAAAAAAAAGAGAAAGCGCATTGATTTAAAAACGCAAGACAAACCGAAATATGTATATACGAAAAAATGCATAGAAAATAAATTGTAGAAGTTAACACGTAAAAGTGTTAAGATAAGCACCGCCGAGTTTTTTTGAGAAAACTAGCACGGTTATCATTTCCGCAAAAAAAGTTTCTTATATCTCGTGTCATTTTTACATTTAAGAAGACAGCGCGAAATACGAATATAAGTGGACGGAAAGCAGGTGTTGGTACGAGCATTCAAAAGTCATTCCGGAAAAACATACTAATTATTCAAACACAGTTGAAGGATATGCCCATATGCCCTCACCCTCACGGAATTGTTTGTAGGAAATTTAGTCCTCTACAATTTATCCTCTATTTTTTTTGTATTTATTTCGGTTTCCTACTTTTTGAAATAAATGCTGATCTTCAGGTCTCTTTTATACATGGCATCCGCCATAATAAATTCACTTGTTCATACACTAAATGTGGGGGGTTCAAACGGAACACGGTCAACTCGCCAAG